CCAGGGGCGGCGCGGAGGCCTGGCGGCGGGCTCACTGCTGCATGGCTCTGCCGCCGCAGAGAGGAAATGGCTCAGACTGCAAACAACAGCGAGTGCTGCTTTTTAGGACAAGCGCGTCCCCGGCTTCCTTGCCGTGACCAGGACGTAAGCGAGGGCATTGCTCCTCAGGCGTCTCAGCCCACTGCCGGCCAAGATAACTGGGCTGGCTGTGCCTAAGCTCATCCCAGTGTTAGTAACTGGGATGCAAAGGGGGAAAGCTGACCTGAGACGACAGGTTTTTGTGGCTGGTTGAGAGCAAGCAAGCCAGCTACCAAAGACAGATAAGCATGTCCCATCCCTCTTTCTGTTTGGAAAACCATGTATCCGCAAAGCCCCCCTGGTTTCTCTCCAGCTCTCACCGTGCTGCAGCAGCCTCAGGAGTCTGCCAAAATCGCCATCACCTGCAATGTGCCACGGGGCTGGGAGCGCTTGGAAGGCACGACAGGAGCTGCCAGCTCATGACAGTGCTCAGCCCTCGGCTGTGGTGTGGGGACAGCAGCGGTGCCTCCCGGACCACAGCATCATACCTTATGTCTGCCAAGAGTGGTCTCTGGCAGTGCAGGGACATGCAGGCTCCCATGCCATGTGCACGCCATGCACATGCCATGTGCATGCCACGCACACACATGTTGCTGGCTAATTTGAGCTGCCCAGCAGTCGGAGCTTGGGCCAGGTCCCCACAGAGCATCTCAAGGAGCCAATGGGCTGCTTGGGAAAACAGAGTGAGAGCAGTGCTGAGGCTGAGCTTACCTGCCTCTGGGGTGGTGTAGAGAAAGGGGGTGCTCCAGGCGCTCCAGGGGCTGTCGACGGGGCTGAGCCGGCACCTGACCTGAAACACGTACTGGGTGTTACTCTGCAGGTCGTGCTGCAAGCGGGGCCCGTGCTGCGCTGCACCATCCCACGCCTCCACCTGCAAGGGAAGCAGGGTGCTGGGGGGAGCGGGACCCAGCAGGCCCCCCGCTGCCGCCAGCCCCCCATGCAGAGCGGGAGCATGCTGCAGTCGTTGCCTTCCTCGTCTGCACAGGTGGGGACGGTCACAGTCCTCCCTGAGCACACATGGCTGGCTAACCCCTGGGGCACATCCTGCACCGGGGGACTGCCTGCCAAGGAGGTCCCCATCGCCCCTCCCGTGGTGCTCCAGCATGTGCTTTTGAGACTGATGCTGTTGCGAGACGCAGTGCACGCGCGGTCCCCTCTGCTAATGCACCAGGCAAGCTAGGGGGGTGCAGCGAGAGACCCCGGCCTGATGCCGCACTGGGCTTCTGGCACCACGGCAATTTTGGGTGCTCCAGTGGGCGCTGGGATCCACCCTCAGCCCCTGCCAGTGCCTGAGGAGGTTTCCGAAAGGGACCCGGGTGGAGCTGCCCCAGGGGTAGCTGTGTCTGCGAGTGTGCGGGGGCGACTGATGAAGCGTGCGTGCGCTGAGCATCCCTAGAGGCTGTTTTGCCTTGTCCTTGCAGAGCTAGATAACGTTTGGAAATATTTTGAATTTTGCCCTTTTGCTTAAAAAGCAGAGATAACCTTGCCTGAAAGTCTGTCTGCCCTCTCAGAGGGCATCAGCTCTCCTACCCCACCAAAAGTGGGAGACTGACCATAGCTGGGCGTGTGTGCCCTCCACTGGTGCTGAAGCAAGGGGGAAGGTTTTGAATGACCCCAAATGCTCCCATTGCCCGTGGGTGCTTAGGGGTCTCTAGCAGGATCAGGACTGGCATATCTCCTAACAGGGGGCAGCT